TCTAGCTCCATCACATATTACGATGTGATCTTTGGCACATCACTTGGCTTCTCTGTGCCTCAAACAAAATGAGACAAGTCATGGAGAAGGTGTAGAGCAATGTTTAGCAGACAGTAAATGCTCAAGAAATATTACTGTAATTCAGCAAGGGGGGAGTTGCAAAGGTATATAACAACAACCCTCATAATTTATTGAATGTGACTCTATGCCCAATATTAATATAATGCTATCGATAGTCTTACAAGGCCTTTGAAATCGATTGACTTGAAACTTATGCCAAATACACACTCAACTTGACTAATGCAAATACCAACATTAACTTGATACACCTTTGAATGTGTTGAGACTAACAGAATGAAATATTTGACACAGAACCTATTGTCTTCACCAACATGTTACACTGTCTTCTATTTTGTCACTATTACCACACTGAGCTCCTGGATTATAAGGATTCCAGCTTCTGTTATTCCAGGACCTGATATACATTAGATACTAATTTTTTTTGAATGAGTCAATATTTACCATAATCTGGTGGAGTGTTTGATGAGTTACAAATTGTTTTCATATAGATGTGTATGTATGTGTGTGTGTGTGTGTGTGTTTATAAGAAACTGTGAAATGGACAGGCAGTACAAGTATTACTCTATTTACAGATGATGTTAATTAACTTGTCTGGGGACATTTAAATCCAGACCTTTTTAGCTGTGTCGTATTTAGTTCTATGTCATAACAAAATATTATTTCTATGTCTTAGTTTTCATGTTTAACCAAAAGGCACATTTCATAACCTTATTAATATGGAAGTATTCTGTCTTCAGGTATTAAAAGTGATCTTACCTTTTCTCTGCAATCTGAGAAAGCAACAGCATGGGAAAACTTCTGATCATTTGTGCAATTACACTCCTGCCGTGTAGACATATTGGCACACTGTTTGAATTTACCAGTTTTCTGCAAATAGAATTGATATAGGTTGACTTGCGCTTTTTTTGTGTGGCAGGGTTTCTGCAAAGTGAGTAAATCTTCGATA